TTTTAGGCTTGTCACGCAATCTTTCCAAGAGTACCTGCGTGATAGGCCATGCGTAGACCAGGCATCAGAGGACTGCGCTAACTTTGCTTACCTGTCGTAGTCATGCCAACCACATCAGCTTTCTTGAGTATCTCGAAGTCTTCCATGTTTTTGATGTCCTTCAGTCGCCTGGCTCCCTCCTCAAATTGCTCTTGGAATAACGATATAGTGCGACGGTACTCCTCAGTCACGTCCACCAGCCAACGACGATACAGGCGCCAGCGATCTTTAAGGCCCAAGTGCCACACATCTCGGACCTGCAGTTGAGAACAAATAAAACAGGTAGATAATAAAATTAAATAAAACATAGTCAGGGTAGTGGCCGAATTTATGCGGATAATTCGTCTTTAGCATAAAGTGGACCTGTCAAGAGGTTTATTAAAAATTTGGTATTGGCTAGAGCAGCAGGTCTTTGCTATGTTAGAGATATGAAAGCTGCAAAAGTTAGCGAGTTAATAGGAGGCAATCGAACGAGGGCAGCCGGACTTACACCAGCTGTTTCTGGCCAAAATATAGTTTGCCCAGACTACTAGTGTGTCTGCTATGTAACACTGTAACTTGCTACAAATACAGCAAATAACAAAATCAGGAGGCAGCGTGGCCGAGTGTTCAGGGCGCCGGACTTGAAATTCTGAGGTTGCGGGTTTAAGTACCGCTCTGACCACTTAGCTGGAGTCATTCCTCGGCAGACCCTAGTTCAACTCCTTGGTTATGTTTGTGATGAATAGCAATCTGGTCTGTCTCCATCCAGTTGGGATTTTTAAGCCTATTATGTTCAGCTGACATATTTGTTTCTTTCAGTTTAAGTGACACACCTGTGAGCTAGCGAGGAGTAGCTGAGCGCAATGATCACTACAAACAACGACATCTGAAGCTTTTTCTTTTTGAAAAACCTTTTTGTTGCTTACCGCGTTTGCTCTCTCATCAGGCATGACATCTTTTCTGCTCAATTCGAAAACCATGATCCTCTTCAATTTCTTTTTAAGTCGCTCAGGCTTCTGGAATTGAAATCCGTCTTCAGTTACTCCGCTAAAGGCAAAAGGATTCACGATTCTGAGTTTCCCGCCTTTTCCCGGCACTGCTTTGGAACCGAACACCATGACGTCATCAACGTCGAGGATTCTCTGATCCTGCATAACATCCGCTTCGTACAGCACATCCGGGTTTTCGTCTTCTTCTTCTTCCTCTTCAGCTTCTTCTCCTTCCGCTTCCGCTCCATCTTGAAAGAAAAGCAAAACTCTACCTTGTAAACATGTCGCGCTGAAAGACATTGCCTCTGTCAGGGCTCTCGTTATAAGGTCACGGTTTTGTTTAACTGTTCAGCGGTTTCTTGTTTAACTGCATGCCCGTCCACCACTACTACTGGCGCTGGCTGCTGAAGAATTTTGCGTCAGTGCTTAATTAAGGCAGCTGTAATTGTTTTCGCTTTTTTTCAACAAACATGCTATCTTGCCATACATACATACAAACAGCTTTTTTGTCGTAACTGTTGTATCTTCAAACGTCTTAAAATTAATAACAGTGGTCTCAAAAGTGGCAGCCTTGCCAACTTCATCGCGTTTCTTTCAACTCAGTTTTGGCAGTCACTTTTTACAGTGCCTGTAATAATATTAATGATAATGTTTGGCCTTTTAATCCGTCGAGCGATGCATGAGAAAAAAACTAGCTTACCATGCGACACAATTCCGCCAAAAGCTCTGACAGTTTCTTTTCCAAGTGATTCAGCAAAAATGTGTAGGTCAGTGACTCTTCCTTGAAAACAACGCTGCGCAAGGACGTTTAAAGCGCCAATCCTGATAGAAAACTGAGTGGCTAGCTCCAGTTTCCTCCCAATGTACTTTGCTTCCACGTCATTCCCATCATGCCACAAGCGCGCAATCCCAGAGTCATAATCATAAGAGGCGCCAATGAAGTTCCAGGCGTTCATGTTAAGAACCGCCTTTGTGAGAGCGGGGGTCTGGGAAAGATCCCTGCGTGCAAAGTGTACTGTCAAAACTCCTTTTCCATCCACTACGCCATCTTGGAAAATTTGGAGCCCCCCACCCGACTCTCGAAAGCTTAGGATTGATCCTCTGTTTCCGGTTGGGAAAATGTCCATCAAGAAGGTGATTGACGTCCTGGTGTCCATGAAACTTCCGGGATGGTTGGGAATCTCAACGAATGAATCGGGTGTTCCTCGTAGTTGTAGTGGCTTATTGTGTATCCCATCAGACTCAGCGGCCCATGTAACACCGCGAGACAGAGTGGCTAGATTGGCTCGTGAACTTTTTTCCAGTCCACCGCAATGTTTGTTGAGTGGGAATACGGCAACAGGCTGAACGGAAGCTGAGAAAAGAAGTAATGAAATCCGACATTGAATTTCAGGAACAAGTTGCATAATACAACACCGCCGCCTTTAGGCCGCAGTGATTCGAAGTAAGGAGTGATCGTGTTAGTTGTTTTTATGCTTTTGTTTGTCTCGCTCCTTTCGTCAGTAATTTATATTAATTCTTGCCACTGAATATATGAAAGACCATACATTATCTTTAATTTCACACCTGCTTAAATTGTGCACATAACTGCAATGATCACTCATGTCTTTATACTTATTCTTGCTCTTCTCGCTATGTTTACGGGGCTAGTAAAAAACAGCCTAAAACCACTGCACAATATAGTTGTTTCCTTGACTTGTCCGTTCATTACCTTGACCAGGAATTTCCGAGTTCATAGACAGCTGTAACCAGTGTAGCATTGCACTCTCTTTATGTCCAACTCTTCCAGCAAACACCTGCCTTAAAGACTGGTAATGAGCAGCAGTCATACTAGGAGCACGGTTGTGCAAGTCGTCTTCGTGAAGAACGTTTTCAAGACATTTCTTTAAATCTTCTGCTGCACCTTGCAGTTTTGTCGTGGTGTGGTCCATTTCCGAATGAGCATCGTAAAAAGCCCTTCTGATGTGTAGAGGAACTGACTTATCCTGC